TGCTTCTTCTACCGATATTCGTTCTTATTACATTTATTTAAGTGATATTTCTGCAGACAGCCTATAATCATCAAGTGTAATTTAATTTTTCTCTGATAAGGTTTGCAACGAGAGAAATTTTTCTTTGAATATTAAAATTTGAAAATCTCAAAACCAATACAGTAGTTTTCACTAATTTCGACTATTTGCTAAATTGATTTGCTTTTAATATCCAAAGATTTTAATTTTGATTTGATAATGTTTTATTAAATAATCATTGCTATAATTTTGTCCTTTTCTTTATCATCTTATATTCTTTGTGAATAATATATTCCCACTATGGTCATTTCGATTCTTCTTCTCTTGACCATACAGATCCTTGTCCACAAAAATTCGAAATTAGCAAATCGAACAGGCGGAATTTCTTTTTGTTGATACATCCGCAGGATTATATTCACACGGAATACATCAAAACGAGAATTTGATCATTTGTATTTCTTCAACACGATTTTACACGAATTTCGATAAAAGACATGAATGATTTTGTATCCAATACGATGTACATTGAGAATCTAACCAGAAGATTACCTTTACATTTTCCTGTTCTATTTATTTGATAACGAATTGAGTTGCTCATACCCCAACAAGTATAGCTAGCAATTCTAATCTTAGTAATAGTCGTACTTTTGATAGGATCAATCCGCGACTTAGCAAAAACCAAAAATGCTTGAATCATTGAATTGTGCATAGAGAGATAGTGAAAGCGTCAATGAAAACATGGAATTTCATTTATCGTGGAAAATTAATTACAACATGCAGAAATTTCTTCACATATATTGATCATTAAGAGATTTCCAATCTTTGTTATCTTCATCTGGAACTAGAAATCTCAATGAATCATAATGAACAGCAATGAATTTGTAGGAATTGTTCTTTTTGTTGCTTCTTGTTCGAGCCAAGATTTCAAAGCTATTTAAATGAGATCTCTATGTGAATTTCAATTAATGCTAAGAATTCAATTTATTCGACTTATTTCAATTCGATTTTATACGAGGAATCTTTGCTTTGAATTCTTTATTATACGAAAATAAATTGATCATTAAAGCATCTTCGAATACGATTTTCACTTCTCCATAAATTTTAAAAGCTACTATTCGTTTAGTCGATAATATGATATTATCGACATAAATGTTTTTCCTGATTTCATGAACATCTTTTAAATGATAGATAAGAGCAACTGAAAGTAAAAAGGGATATGATATCACTGCAAACGGAACTTTTGAAATAGATAACATTTTACATTATCTTCTGTCCCATGTCCTCGAATGTCCTTTAACTAAAGGAATGAATTACACTTCTTTTCTGTTGAGCAACAATTTGTAATGGATTTGTCAAGTCTTCTATGATATTAACCTTAAAATTATGATATCTGACTCCGTGGTTTTTACTCCAATTAGTGCCATTAAGTTAAGGGAGGATGTTGGCTTTTTAATAGTAAGTGGAGCAAGTTTTAATACCCAACTTTTACTTACTTCTGAATCTAATTGATTTGCAAATTACTTCGAAATGAAGGAACCGATATCATATAATGCTACTGCCTCTTTCTGAATTCAGGCACTTCAATCTTTTTACATGAAAGTAAGACTTTTTCACCTGTGGACTGATTTCTTTGCTTCAACTAAATTGATGGCATTTATCGAATTAATTTTTCCTTTATTTAGTCTAATGTATTATTGTACGCAATTCTTCTATTTAATGTGACATAGCGAGTATTGTGAGGATCTTTACAGTGAAAATATAAACGTTTCCTTATATTGCAATTGGTTGCCGTATGTTCGTATTGGAGACAGTTAGGCAAATATTATTTTCCTTTAATCGTTTCCATTCTTTGCTTAGAAGTAGGATAAGTTTTACATTCATTAGAGTAAAGTATATAGCTAAAGTTGAGGTAATATATAGCTAAAGTTTTGTTCTTTCCCAGCCGACAGTTTATTTTCAGCGTATTTTCCTTCTACCTTTTTTTGACGTGATTGACCTTGCTGAATGTATTTAGCTGATTTGTGTTGGCGGTTTCGAAATAATGTGTAGTTTAAGGCCATTATTTTTTCTTCGATAATTCTTATTCTGGCCTCGAATTGTCAACCGGTTTCCTCCCCGGTCAACATTGGGTCCAACGATGTTAGATCCATTACTCTGACTTCTTCGAGGTTCTAATTTTTTTCTTTGCTGATTGCGCATTTATCATTATAATGGTAGACATGTTCCGTCTCACGATACCAAAATATTTTGTGAAATTTTTTTGTTTTGAAAGAACTTTGGCTTGGCACACTCGCTCTTTAGAAGTTTTCTTGGACATTATAGGACAACTATCAGTAATAGAGTCGATCCTGTTTTTCTTAATCCATTGTTAGGGGAGGGATTCACTTGAAAGTAAATGATTTTATTGTCGGATAAATAGTAAAGTAGAATCGAAGGAGTCATGCACTTCTCTTTTGACCTCTAAGTATATATATAGTGGTTTATAGTAGGAGTGGTTTATAACAAATATTCTGATAAAATTCTATTGGATTAAAGAATAGGTATGGGAACATAGAAAAGAAAAGGAAGATATGATTACCGAGCGGTTGAAATATGATTGGTTATTAGACCGAGAATATTTATGTATAAATTCACTTCCGGAAATTCAATCATAGAAGATAAGCGCGGCAGTCAAAAAAGGATGATGAGAATTGGCGAAATAATTCATCACTTCAGATTTGCAACATTCGTTAAATTACAATTTATGAGATCAATTACTCAAATGAGAGATATTTTTGCAACATAAATTATTTTTATTAAACATATTTATACAAAATTATTTTTATTAAGCATATTTATACAAATTATTTCGAATTTCGATATAAGATGTTGACAATATTGCTGACATCTACTCAATATTGCAGCATAATAATTAATAATTCGGAACTCGTTAAATAAAGTTATTGGAAAAACGTAATGTCCTACTTTCTATAAAACTAAATCATTAAAATGTCAAAAATACTTTGGAAAATTTTAAATTAATTCTTATAATATTAGATTGAATTAGAAACATCTTTGTTGAAAAAATTTCACATTTTTTTAGGGTACAGTACAGGTGGAAATGTGTAGAATGCATGAAACTTTGAAATGGAAAGAGATCTTAAAACAAAAAATTGCAAAATTATTTTGAATTACTTTAAAATGAGTTGCAAAATTAATTAGTCATAAAATCCTACGAGTAATCTAAAGTAATCTACTGTAAAATAATCTCTGAAAATCCTACACTGTACTGTAAAGTAATCTCTGAAAATCTCTGAAAATCCTACACCATACTGTACAGTATAAATTGAAACCAATTTTTTAAAAAAATTAAGTAATATAATAAGACATAATATATATTACATTTTTTAATTATTATTTAAAACAAATTATTGCTTCTATTTTCTCAATTACTAATATCCAGTCTAATTACTCAATGAGTTGAATGTTGCATTGTTATCATAACAATCAGATTATCTTCTTCTTTCTTATATTTTAAAAATATTTCGAAAATAAGTAATGATATAAGACAATACAAATTCGATGATGTTACTTGATAGTGCGGTAAATTAAATGAGTCATATGTTTCATTTGATAACAATCAACAGAACAAACATTACTTCACTAATTACGCACTCCAAATTAGAACTCAAACATTGAAGAAGGAAGATTTTAAAATGTTAATTTGAAATATATGATAGTAAGTGATCTATTCTATTCGCCTTTTCATTTTCATTTGCATTTGTTTACATTTCATACAAAAATATTTCACTAATTTTTAACTTCAAAAAATAGATTACAATCAATGATTATGTGAGGGAAAGTAACGGACACGGACTACTGGTTTCAATAGCAATCTGTTACTTGTCGTCATCTGTCATTAACTGCAAGAAAAAATTGTATAAAGAGAGTATAAAGAAATAATAGTAATTTTTTCATGAATTATGTGGCTGCAAATGTTGTCATTAAAAAATATTTTGAAATGAATCTATAATTAAAATTTAAAATTAGAATTCTTATAAAAGTTACTAAAAAATGAATTATAAATATAATATATATGTATATATATATCATATATCAAATGAAAAAATTATAGTAAATTTGAAAAAGACTGACTGTTAAATATATCTTTAAAATATTATCATTCTTTTGCAATCTAATTTGAAATAGAAAAATGAGAAAAGAAAATGGAAACTTTCTCCTAAAACAATAAACATACGGAAGAATTTCGAATCAATAATTGCTTATATGACTGTTAAAAGACTGATTGTTAAATTTATTCCTAACAAAATAATCCATTTTATAAAATTGTTTCATAGTTATTTCACAATAGCGAATTATATTCTTTATGTTAGCATCGCTTAATATTCTAATTAAATGTATCTTAAAACCTAATTTATTGTATTTATATTTTTGTCGTTACAGTTACGATTTTGTTTTTGAAGAAATATATTGATGTTGTAAACAGTACAAGTTCATTAGTAATTAATTAAAGTCTATTTAATTGTAGGATTTTATATCTGCTCAAATAGTAATGATTTATTTCCTTTTTACTTTTGTCCCAAGGGGAAATCGTTGATAAAGCAAATTATTTATCAAGTTCAATTTGAAGCAAATTAGCCTAAGCTACTACTTCTATCATTACAATTAATGGAAGCACATAAATAACCGTGTCAGAAAAAGCTGTCAATTAATGAAAGCACATAAATAATCGTGCCAGAAAAAATTGTATGAAAAGATGCAAAAAATAGAATTTAAATATTAGAGTGTATTCTGAAGTGTGACAATCCGGTTCCGTTCCAGGAATGCGTTCACTGGCTTTCTTTGCTCATTTTGCAAATAACCTGCCTTCTTATATCCTACCCATCCGCATCCGTAACCGCCTTTTGTTCTCGTACCAGCGGGTATATATATATGTATATTGTTTGAAATTTGTAGGCAGCATCTTCAATTGTAGAGATAAAATGACAGTTGCGCATTCTGTTGCTTATTCGGCAATCGGTCTATCTCTTTTAAGTTTCACCATTTGCATTTACTCATTAAGAAACTTAGCGTCTAGAATTAGTACTATCAATGAAAAAATTTTGGAAGAAGTGAATGAATTCCGTGGGATGGAAAACCATATTCGGTAATTTCATCATTTCCTAAATTATTAACAATCAATTGATACTGTCTACTGAATGATTTGTAAAATTGAATGATTTGCAAAATTCGAATGATTTGTAAAATGTCTGCTGAATGATTTGTAAAATTTGTTCAGCTAAAGATTTGTTAATTATCGAATTCTAATTATTGCTTACATAGCAATAATTAATATGCCATTACATAGTCTTACTACTTCTCTTCAACAAAGTAAAAATTTCTTGCACTATAAGGAAAACTATAAAGTTTTAGAGAATTGCAAAAAATGAAAAAATTTTGGGATGCTGTAAAATAGCTTTCGGCGTGATATGATAAATGATAAGCAGCTTGATTGGAAAAAATATTGAAGCATTGAATTATGATGAAAATTAAGCACAACTGTTGTGTGAGATCAAAATCAAAACAATTGTTTATAATTTGCTGAAATTTAGTGAATTTTAGATTTGAATTTTTTAAAGCTTCGAAGTTTCCATTTATAAATGCATATTTTCAATTCTTGAGTTCGACTAATAATTTTTTGCAGCGGGACATATCGTAGGGTGGCGAGACAAGCTGCTCAATGTCAATGTAATCTAAACAACCGTTGTCCACCTGGGCCTCCAGGACCAGTTGGCCTAAATGGACAAGATGGAGCACCTGGTAAAGCAGTTACAAAACACTAACAATGGTTTCTGCTTTAGTAATTAAAATTTGTCAAAAAAACTACGAAAATTTTTGCATGAAAATCTTTTGTCAGATGTTTAATCATGTCATTTGTTATTTGCAGGTCTCCCGGGACCAACTGGTCCACCAGGTCTTCCTGGTCGCATGCCAGCTATTAATTATAATTTTGAAGGACGTTGCCGTTCATGTCCTAATGGACCACCAGGACCACCAGGTCCATTAGGACAACCGGGAATGCCAGGTAGCAATGGATTACCAGGACAAGCTGGAAATCGTGGACGTAGTGGTAATATGGGACAACCGGGTCCACCTGGTTTACAAGGAAAAGCAGCAGCACCGGGTCGTCCAGGAGAACAAGGATTACCTGGTCGTCCTGGATCACAGGGTGGAAAAGGATTACCTGGGCTACGTGGATCACCAGGACAGCATGGACCACGTGGTTCGCCGGGAAAACAAGGTATGGCAGGAAATCAAGGATCACAAGGACGTCCAGGTCCACAGGGACCACCAGGACAACCTGGCCCAAGTGGGCACCCTGGATTACCCGGTCAGAGAGGTGAGCCCGGCAAACATGGCAAGGATGCCGCCTATTGTCCATGTCCGCGTCGAAGTGTCGTTGCATCAGTCCAAAAAGCCTAACGAAGTATGAATCCATATATTATTTACTGATATATTCATCCATTCCGACAGTTGATTAAAATGAATTATTTGTTGCGCTCACTTGAAAGTTCCAAAAAAGATGAGAAAGAAAAAGAAGCCATAAAATAGTTCATAGGTCACAGGTCATATTGTTGCATGAAGTCACATTGAATTTTTGTGCCAAGAATTAAATTGCTTTTTAAAAATCATTGAGAAATGATTTAAAAACTACGATCTAAAAAGTTTGAATTTCTTTGAAAAATTATGGACTTGCTTGGGAGGTTAATGTTCTTATCAAGTGTTCTATTCTTATCATCACAATGTTCTTATCAAGCCAAAGGATTACTTTTATGCATCTTTTTAGTATTCACCTTAATATATGATCTCTGTAAATAATCGATGTTTTGCAACAATTAAAATAAGCTCAATGATAAGGGATTTATCAATAATGCTGATAAAATGAGTTATTTCAATCGATGATATCATCTTTTAAATGTAATTGGATATCAAAAACGATGATCCTCTTTGTTATCACTAATTACCAAATTGAGACTAATCAGATTTAAGGTTTTCTACTAGAAAATATTTTTTTATAATGATAAAATCAACAAAATTTTTTTTGAAGTTTTTATATAATTATTGTTTATTGTAAATTATTATAAATTAAATCGGTAATGCATTAAATATTTCATTTTATTGCAAATTGCAAAATCAAATTAAATGATAAAGCAGAATTTCCCGTTGTTATTCAATTAATAATTAAAGAGGAATTAGAATGAGCCTTATCAATTCTTAAATAAATTATCAATAAATTATTTTCAAGTTTAATTTTGATTTAAATAAAATTATTTTCAATAAATTGCAGAATAGCTAATTAACTAATTAGAAAATACAGAAATAAGTGCTTATTGCAAATATAAATTTTTAAAAAATTAGTTTCTTTTGTCTATAAAATTAAAGTTATTACAGACAAATTTCCTCATTTCAAATCACTGAAATTTCGAAATTTCTTTTCAAACTTCAACATTTACAGTTGTAGTACTTAATGTTCCAAAATTTCTTCGCCTCTCTCTCTCTCTCTCTCTCTCTCTCATCGAAGATGAAAAGATGAAAGAGAAAGATTAAATAAAGATTTAAAAAAAAACGGATAAAATCAATAGTAACTCTGCAAGTGAACAAATGTGCAAAACGAAGTTGAGCTTCAATTGAAGCAGTAATCGATTATCATCAGTTTGTATGTTCGTTGGATAATAGTGACAGTGGCTTTTTTATAGTTGATAAGCTTTCTTAATAGACGAAAAGTTATCAGTTATTATAGTTATTAGGATAAAACGTTTATTTACAGGTGATCATGTGTCATTCATTATTGTTTGTGTGTTCTTTCATTTCATTGTTTATTTTTAGTCCCTAATTTATTCATCTAAACAAATTAAGTCGTATTCTTCGCTCATTATCGTCTTTTTTTCTTACGCTTTATTTCTTGTTTATTTAAATTATTTAAGTTTAAAAAATTACACAATTTTTCTGTCTCATTCTTTTTGTCAGCTCAACGCTTTAAGGTAAAGGTAATAGTATCACGAAATTTTATGATACTAGTAATTTAAGTAAATTAAAATTTCATGATACTAATACCTTAACTAAATTAAAATTTCATGATAGTAATACTTTAAGTAAATTAAAATTTCATGATACTAATACCTAAAAGCACATTCACTATTAATTACATTCATGCTTATTACATTCATACAACAAATTCATCACTTTACACTATTAAACGTGTATCAGCCATTTGAACCATTTTTTTTAATATTTTTTAAAAAGGTAATTTGAGAGAGTTCTGCTCATAAAAATATGGCATTAAATTTTAAAGGAATATGTCAAAGATTTAAATGAGTAATGAAAGTGTAAATTAATTAATTGCATATTACTAATTGTGCTATGATGAAATAAACGATAGCTAAAAAGCTGCAAAAATAGAGAAATTCACGGTTAATTTTAATAATTCTTTCTTTGAAATGATTTTAGATGATTATATCAATCAAAATTTCTATGGTATTCCTTACCTGTTTACCATCAACTTTATTATTTGCTACTAAACGTTTCACGAATATGTGCGATTTATGTTTGGAAGAAATGATTAGTGTCATTCATTATTTAAATGACAGCAAGGTTAAATTGTCTATTTTATTTTCTTACTATTTACTAAAATTATTTTAACATTATTAAATTTTAAACAAATATTACTTTATAGATGTTTAATTAATAGGGATAATTTCTCTACTAATTAACTTAGTTTATGTGATTAAGTGATCAAAGATGATCAAATTCCTACTTCTCTCTCTCTCTCTCTCTCTCGTAATTTGAGATGCTTCAGTGAACAATTGAAAATGTTGTTTATTAATATATTTATCATTGTATCATCAAAAATACAAAGTAATGATAAGATATTATCAAGTAAAGTCATCCGTTGAAAAGAACTTCGCCACAAAATGATTCATATTTCTTTTTCAGTTTATTATTTTATTTTCATTTAAGGCTATAATTTTGGCAAAGATCGATGAAAAATGTAAAAGAATTTTTGGAATGGATATGGAATTGTATCGAATTTGTGTTATTAAAATCAGTAAAATTTATTTAAAAATTGTTGAAAAAATGGAGAAACGATTTAATCCAAATAATTTCTGCAAAAAATTACATATTTGTGAAATGATGCATATTTCTTCATATTAACTTCTTTCTGCTAATTATTGCTAATGTATGATAAAAACGTTATGATAAAAATTATCATTAGAAAGAATAATTGAGTGATAATTGATAAAAATACAAATTCACGAAAAGTTTTAAATTGGAAGAATAGTTTTACAAATTGAGTAATTAAATGAAATCATTGATTAGATTATCTCTTATCTTTCAAAATTTCTTTTATAATGTTGAAGATATCCTTATATCTCAATCAATGCTTAATGGATGAATTCACGATGAACTTCATTTTGTACTTTGAAAAAGAAATAAAATTGAATTTCGTTATTTTTACACTTTTGTGATATAAGTGTCAATTGTTGAAGTTGCAGATGTATTTTGATGTAATTAACAAATTTCAATTATTGAATGCATCCTCTTTTCGTTCCTGCAACTTTCATTTCTCACTATTATCTTTCTTTTTTAACTTTCGGAAGTTAAAAATTTGTCAGTGTGATATGATAAAATGATTGATTATTTCACTATGTTTACTTCATAAAAGTGATGGCAGACGAATTATGACATTCATTTAGAAGACTATTAGTTAATATTTGCTAGATGTGAAATATTTTAAGTTATAAAAATCAATAAATGTTCTATTTTAACATTACTCTCATTAAATAATCAATCATTAGAATAGCTTTGTAATTTCATCGCACTAAACTATTCCTCATATTTTCCTTGCAAAATTCTCAAATAATAAATACCGGAGTGTAAAATTCCCAAATGGTATTCTGGATGTTTTCTTCAAATGAAACTTTCTCATGATACTTTTCACGCATACCGCCAATAAAGAAGCTACATCTTCTTCCCTTTTATTGATTAAAATTTGCAACAAAAAATACAGTCAACTATTTCAATCGTTGGTGGCATCCGCTTTCAGCGATCGTTTCTTCAGCGATGATTGAATTTTATTAGGCAGAAACCATTTGAATTTCAAAAGTTACAGTAATTTTGCTTTTCTATTTACATTTTCAACGATTAAGATATGTTTCTAAAAAAAAAATTTAATATTTACATTTTACAAAATTTACAAAAATTTTAGAAAATCTCTCTTTCGCTCTCTCTCTCTCTCTCTCTCTCTCTCTTCAATAGTAGCAAGTTTTATTATTAATAAATAAAGCTTTATTTTTGCTTTCTTTCTCTCTCTCTCTCTCTCTCTCCCAAAAAATTTATTGATTATTTGAAAGAAGTGCAAAAGAAATGTGTATTCACATTATTCGCTAATTGACGAAAAGATCACACACGGCAAAACTTCATGTATCAATGCTGTACTTTTATCATTTGAGGAATTGGAATTTGAGGAATTTTCTTCACCTCAAAATGTGGAAGAAACGAAAACAAGGATTTTTTCTCTTTCTTTACGAATAATTTTTCATAAGTAATTTCATAACTTTTTCTTTTTTCACTCTCTCTTTCTTTCTCTCTCTCCCTCTCTCTTTCTCTCTTTCTACAGAAAACTTTAAAAGATTTAATTTAATAATTTGTGCTAAGTTTTTCTTTTTCTTTTTCATGAATAATTATTGAGATATTGCAGAATTTGATATAAGTTTCAACATTTGACTTGTCAATTTATTTATAGCATATTATAGAGTTCTTACTGTGCGCACTTTGTTATTCAAAAGCGCAATAGTTCTGTTCAAAAGTACTTTCAATAAGAGCTTTTTTTTGCTTAGAGATATTTTCACTGCAATAAGGATTCTTAGCACTTTTTATCGCATACAACAAGGCTCCTTAATACTTTTTACCACACACAACAAGGCTTCTATGTACTTTTTACCGCACACAATAAGGCTCCTTAGCACTTTTTCAAAATAAATTTAATACAATTATTTTCGTTGTTGTTGCTGCATGTATGACATGCATGAACATTGAAGGATAGAATGAATCAAGTTTTTTGAAATGATTCGAAATTTAAATTCATTTCAGAATCACACCACAAACCAATTATATGAACAGTTCATGTTTGCCAGTTACATTTTAGTGACAACTGATGCTTTAGTAATTACTACGATAGAGATGAAGTCGTTTTTTTTGCTGGAACTATTTGTTGAATATGTTATGTAATTAAAATTGTAAAAAAAATTATTTGAAGAAAAAAACGAAATATCGAATAAATGGAAGAATTTCATGTGACAGCTGGAAGAACTAAAAGAATTACATGTATTTCATGAGAGGGTTGAGAACAAAATTAAATTTAATCGAATTTTCGTAAAATGCCAAATACTAAAAATTGGTCGAAATTTAAAAAATTAAACTGGAAATGATTAATTTAAATATTTTTAGCTAATTTTTTTTCCAACTACGATATGCAAATTTCGAATAGTTTATGCAATTACCTTTTCAAATCCACCTAATTTATTATCATTATCATATTTTATTAAATGGCAATCGGTCAGTCAAAGTATGCATTTCATCTTTTTAAACTAAATGTAAAATGTTTGATTGGATAGGAATTAGTAGTAAGTTTGGAATTTTGAGATTTTGATTTTTTGTGGCAACGAAAGAAAACTATCTTCAAGTATTTAAGAATAAGAACTAAGAATTCATTAGTGATTAAAGTAGCATTAATTAATACAAACATCTCATGCAACAAATATATGAAGAGTGATTTAAATGAGCGATAAGTATATTTATTTCAACTTTAAAGTTTAAAGAGTAAACAAACATTCGGTAGATATTGTAGAAATCATTATTATATGATCGATGGAACAATATTGCTGCTAATAGTGAATGAAATAATCATAGTTTGGATTCTCTATGAATTATTAAATCCAACATCGATATGTTGGAAGCAAATCTTTCAATACGCTAATGAAACATATACCGCATTTGATAAACGAATTATACTACAATTTGGATCAACCAATCAACGATTGTATAACTTTTGCAATAATAATGATAATGGATTGATAAAAAACTATCCTAATTATAGAATACAATAATAATGATAATGAACTGATAAGAAACTAATCTGATTACAGACTACAATAATAATGATAATGAATTGATAAGAAACTAACTTAGTCATAAAACGACAAACAGTTGTTCGGAGATCCACTGCAATAATAATAGTGAATTGATAAGTTATTCATAAAGTAATAATCTAAAATTTAGTTTTTATATAATTACATACATTATAGTCTTATGATAATAAAGTTGAGGTAAAACCGTAGTTATGGTATTAATCTCTCTATTTTTCGTAGTAACCATAAACTATGCAAATTACATTCTAAAAATAATTTATGCAAAAATGTTTTCGGGAATAATATTTTAGATGAAAATTTAGACATCGAATATATCGAACGCTAGAAACATGTATAGAAATACGACTGGAAACATTGCTAAGCTGGAATTTCGATATAAATAATCTTGATAGATTAAATTTTCCATTTCGAAATCAGGTAGTATAGTTGTGAAAGCAAAATTGGATAGTACAAAACTAAAGGAATTGAAGATGAAGAAGTGATCTCAATCATATCATTAAAGCGTTATGCTTATTAAATACTAATTACCTGAAAGATTTGATAATGCATAAAATTAAATGAATTTTACAATAAGAAATGCTATTAGCATTTTTGAAATGTGATAAAATGAAATTTCAGATTATCACAGGCTTAGTTCAAGCAGTCTTAGCATTATTAACAAGTAGTTGGCATACCTGGCTTATATGGCATGCTCGATTACCCACTACTATAACACCTAATAATATAGCACTTCCAGTATTAAATATTGCTGGTAATTAAATACTATTAATAAATTTAAATAAATAATGAAATTTGAAATGTTTGCTTTCTAAACTAAGGTAACATTTGATTACTGTATCACATTAGATATTAATTAAAGAAAGATAAAAGAAAAGATAACATATTAATTAGTCAATTATTTACTAAATTATATAATTCTACTATTTGCTAATTATAATTTTTCAATTCATTTTTAATATAATCTTTAATATAATATTTTAATATAATATAATCTTTTTAATATAATCTATAATCTATAAATATAACCTTTTATCCAAATTTATCATTGAAAAAATAGTTTACAGTTTCAAAATGGTTTCCAAAATGTTTCATTTTTAAAATTACTTTATATTTCAGCCCTTAGTTCTTTATTTTGGATTATAATATCAATTATTTATAAATGGTCTGATTTATGGTATGCGAAAAGTTTGCTCAAACAAGCGCCAACATTACCATTTGCTGAAATGCGAGTTCGTCTTTTCATATATCTAAAAATCTCTTCCATTTATTTTATTTGTTAAAATTTGAATTATTATTTTACAAAATTTGCATATTTACAGTTTAAATCATAGCGAGAAATTTGATAAGCAAAGATAAAGCAATCAAAATAAACAGAATAAACAAATATTATATTTTAACTTTTAAAATTGATAGCTTTTTCTTGCTGACAAACAGAAGATAACAAACAGATGACAAATAGAATAAAATAGAATTTTGATGACAAACAGAAGATGACAAATAGAAGAGAGAGGAAATTTATCGATGTAAAAATTTAAATGAATAAAATTTATCATCCTTATTTTTGTTAATTTTTCACGTGCTTTTGTTTAATTAATCAATAAAGTTATCACCACTTTTACATGTTCCTGTTAATTAATCAATAAAATTATCATTAATTTCTAGATATTATTATTAATTTCAATTGCTATATTAATCAATTGGTTGCTGCTTTATACATTATATCGGGCATTCATCGAAAACAAGAATGGTATCGCAGAGATACTTTTGAAAAGTGATGAAAAATCAGCATAATGCGGAATTTGTTTAATTTAATTGTTGCAGTAAATTAAATTATCACAGTTGCAATTAGTCAATTTAAACCAATTCAAATTTCAAATTTATTTAATTGCGAAAATTAGTTTTTGCATTATTTACAAATCTATTTTCAAAAATGATAAAATTATATTTTTGTTCAAAAAAACAGATCATCCTTCTTTTGTTCTTTCATTTAAAAGTTTCATGCATTTTTGTTTTTCAAATTAACAGCTAGCTAATTTGATGTAAAATTTAACTTAAGCAAATTTATCAGCAATAGCAATGATACATTTGAATTTCAATAATTGTTGCATATCAATTATTATCGAACCTAAGCTCAGAGTGTTTCCTTCTCTGTCAAATAAATTCCTCCCAATTTCTGCAAAAATAAAATAAACTGTAAGAGTGCGATTAGTACTTAAAGTTAGAAAAAAAGTAAATTTAAAAAAGTTTGAAAAATGCGCAAAATGTACTTATCTTAATTGTTTTGTAATTAATCAAATTAGTTGATTTAATGAATTTAATAACGAATTACTCATCAATCATTCTATTCACATTTTATTAGTACATCAATTCATTAAGTAATAATAACGTTATATTACATAGAATATGATCACTTCATGTTTTACTACATTCATACAACACTATCAAAAATCATTTACTTATTATCAATTGTGTTCTGGAGTTTCAAATTCATGATATTAATTTCGGATTATTAAAAATTATTTAATACAAATTTGCAGAATTGAAATGAAAGAATAACAAATTAATTAAATGAATTAAAATATTTATATTTTGAAAAATCAAATTAGTTTCAACACGCTGAGATTTTTAATAATTTCATGAAACTTATTTATAAACTTATGGTATTTTTTATTTACTTAAATCTTTGCAAAAGATAAATTTCATAAAATTTGATGTAAATATTATTCGGTCAAATGGATGCAGTGAAATTCTCCCTTCTAATGACACTTAAAGTTTCATTCTATTTCAGGACTATATGATCTGATTTAATTCTGAAATGGAGTAAAGATCAAAGATATGAAATAAAACGAGTACATTTTGATAAACAATGAATGAAGTAAATAGGAAAACTTGATCGGCGAATTAGTTCATTGAGAGCAAAGTATAATTTCAAAATTTTTTAATCTTAAATCAATAATATTTCTAACATTTCATGCTTGATGTATGATATAATGAAATATTTCAATTTTTACAATATAATTTATAGTTAAATTTGAACAGAATACATTTTGAGATATCTACAAAATAAGTGATATCTTAAAATAAGTGATGATTGGAATAATAAAAGGCACATTATGGTGAATAGTTAACGTTGAATAGTTAACCTTCAAATATATTACACGACAATTAAGTAATTACATCAGAAATTTAGATCGTAAAATAGGAAATATCAGAAATCATTAAATCAAATATAATAACATATTCTATTTGCTATTTTTACGATTCACTTTTATATTATATCTTTGTAAATGTTTATTTAAAAGAATTTCGAATACTTTTAAGCAATTGAAATATAAATTTGATGAAGTATTTTGAAGGAAAAAGTTTATATAATTAAGAGATATGCTATAAATAATTATAAAATGCGAATTTTAAAAATAAAATATAATAAAATATAGATATGATATTATTAGTTGATGATGAGGGTATGAATATTGCCGCTCCTGAATCATCAAAAAATTGACGTTTTGCGCCCGGATAGCAATATCGTCGATGCCTACAGATACATTCTTGTATATCAAGCTGTTCATGTAGTCTGAAAATTTCTTTTTTTTTATACTATTTAATTAATTCATAAATTTCTACACTCATTTATTACTATTATTCGTTGATTATCGCCTCCTCTGCCAACTTATCATTCATATTTTCGAAACAAAAAAAGACATTTATTGAATTGTAAATCAGAATATCGATTAGTGATAACATATCATTTACCTCTGACATGTGTTATCTTCACGCGCATCAAGTAATTTCTCATTTATTGCTCCAAATGTTTCTGCACAGCCGCGCATTGTAAATGACGAGCCTAAAAGATAATGTAAAATAGTGAAATTTCGTTTTCTCTTTCGAAGTTTTCAAAATTTTTAAATTTTACATTTTTCTAATAAATGAGTTACTAATTATGATTTATAGTTTGCTAATTAAATATAGTTTGATAATTAAATATAGTTTGTTAATTATGAAAAAAACAAAAAAAATACAAAAATAATAAGGAAAAATGAAACTTAAATATATTGGAAATTTTGCTAAAATTGAACAAACCTGATTGAATTAGAAAATTCTTGACAGCTAATGAAAAAAAGTTTTTTAAATATAAATAAAAAATAAGCAAACAATTTCTAAAATTTCAATAAATAATAATTCAAGGTGAGTAATGTTTTCGATTAATTGCTTAATAATATGATAATAATATGATAATGATATGAATATGATATTTAATATGCCCTATATAAAAAATTGATAATAATATGCCTTGTAAGAATATCATCAATGAATAGATATTTGAAACAAATATTAAAATTTAATATAACTGATATGATGATATGATATATTTAACTAATGTGATAAGATACGATATCAATTGTTGCATGAAATGAATTGTTGAATAATTTCAAAATATTTATTAAATTTTTAAATTCTTGACGTTTCAAATGAAAAATGTTAATGTTTAAATGAAAAAATTATCATTATGAAGTTAAATATTTTTATGAATGAAATAATGAAAAACTTGCCAGTTTCATGATCTGTTAAAATCAGCGTTTGACAGTATGGATGTCGACAATATTCCACAGCTAATTCCGTTAAATTACGTGGTTCTGAGCAACGTGTATTTTTCACTTGAACCGGATAAGCTGTTCGACGAATAAGTAAAAATTTTTCAATAGCACGTTGCATATTTCCACTCATTACACTCAATGGACTCGTACAATAATAGCACCAATGGTTTTTATCTGTTGATAATACTGATAAAAGTGTTTCGTTTTTGCATATTTAAAATTGAAGGAAAAATAGAATCGAATTTAAATCTTAAAATTTTCAAATTTAAACCATCCCCTAAGCTCATTCCTCAGATTCCATATCATTCGATATGGACTATATGGCTATTAAATACTTTAAAAGTTTAATTCTTCCAAATGTTCAATCAAATAATCATTGTATTACGAAAGCATGAAAGTTTCACAGATGTAATATTAATTAGAAATATTAATTAGAAATTATAAATTAGAAATATTAATTAGAAAGTCAATTCAAAAGGATATAAATCTAAAAAGATATATTTAAATTATATTTGTGAGTTATATTAGAAACTTTACTTAAAATGTAAAATTAAAATTTCAAGCACTTAAAATATTTTCATTATATTTAGAGTGTTGGGTTATCTAATTTCTCTCAATTAGTTTTCCTTTAAATCTCACCGAACAGTTTAGCTTGAATTCAAACTTATGATAAATTGTTCTTCGTGGTGTGTGTGTTATATCACTAGTGTGTGTATGTGTGTGTGTGTGTGTGTGTGTGTGTGTGTGTGTGTGTGTGTGTGTTATATCACTAAATCTGTTGTTATATCACTGGTGTTATATCACTAAATCTTGTTATATCGTTATTGCTGTTATATCACTAAATCTTTGTCATCACTATAAAATGGAAATTATGAAAGTATTTTATGCAACCTTTTACTATTCCCACTATCTTCTACATATTTCTATCATCCAAAAAACAAATTAAAACAATTTGAGAGTTTTCAGTTTTTGAACTCAATAATTTAATTAATTTTAAGAGAAATTTATTTCAAGTGATGATAAGACGATGGAAAAAAAGAGAAAGATAAGATCGCTGTAAAATGAAAGAACGAAAAACTCTTATCTATCATTAAAGATCCCCGATTTCTGTTTTATTCAGTAAAAATAAAATATATCAATAAATTTATTTACCTGTTTTAGTAGTAATTATATTGGGAAATGTAACTGTTGGTAAAATTTTTCCTTTGTACTGATAAGATTCAGTTATCGGATAATTATGATAATCTTCCCGCACTACTTCATCACCACTATTTCGACTATTAATAACAAAATGAGAGCGCTGCTCCATTTCATATTCCATTTCTTCTGCTTCCATTATCTTCAATTTATTTCATTTCATTCTTTTACAAATTAGCTTAATTGAAAGATTGAAAAACTTTGCATGAATAAAAAAATTAAAGAATTTATTTTTCCATTCATTTTAAATGGTGTCATTTTAATGTTATATTCAGATGGACGATTAAAATGACAAACAAATTGTTGTAAAATTGTTTGACATCGAATGATGGGAGCGAGATGAAGGACGAATGCGCTCATTCGATGTGATAGAAGATGGGAAATTTTACATGAAAAGTTATTTTGCATTGATCAGTTGATCATTTTGTGAATGAATTTTAGACGCTTATTGCTTAGAGGAAAGGATCGATAAAAGTATTATTTATAATAAACCTTTTTTCCTGAAATTTTAATAAATGAATTTTGAATTGAGACATTACGGTTTACGTTTATGGAATTAAACATCTCCAAATATTTCGGAAAGTTTAATCAAAATTGGAAAATGGATTGAATCAATGGAAATGTTAAACAACCTGTTGGATCCTTCGTACTTCATCTTGTTCGGTCCATATTTTTTTTGCACCTAACGCAATATTTCCATTTCTGATGGGATAAATACCAAAGATTATAATAATCGCTATAAAATGTTCGCCAAAAATTGTTTCAATCATGATAGTGATTGGAATATCATTTGCTGAAAATATTTACAAATAGGATATGATGAATCAGATAGCAGTCAATCGATTAAAGAACGCAAATACAAACATGCAAACATATAAATACAAACATGCAAACATATATGGAATAACAACAACAACAACAACAACAACAACAATAATTACATTCTTTTCCAATATCCAGCAATTTTAATAAAATAAAATTGCATCTAATAGAAATATATTATTGGATCCGTAACTCGAAATAACAAGAACGAAGAAAAACAACAATAACGATGATAATAACAACAAGAACAACGGTAACAGCAACAACAACAAAACCAACGACAATAAAAAATAGTAACAGTATTGAGCTATGCAGTAATATTGATATTCTTGAAGTGGTGATATTGGATTCGGAAGAAATAAACGATGACAGTACATGACAGTACATCTACTCAGCAAATGAGGATCGATAAGTAAGAGGTGGTCGCGGACAGAGCGATGCTAATGATGTCGCGTTTATCTTTAATGGGATGAATTTATTATCAAGTGATCGATCGCCAATTACTCATTTGCCCGCTCTCTCTCTGATTTCGTTCAAAAATGTTAATGAAAGAGCATTTTCAATGGGTAAAAGAAATATAAAATAATGGCGGGGTGATAATTAAGATGGAAAAATTTTCTCGGCTGATAAATCGCGAAGAAACTACACAAACCGTAGCATCGCTCTGTTTCTTTCCATCCTTTCCGATCGTATAAGAGGAAAATTTATTATTGATTCTCTTATATTTTGTTTGTACCCATCCATTTTATCAATTAGAATTTAATCATAAAAAGTTTTTTTTAAAACAAATACTTTTTTAGTAATTATTTGAAAAACCGGATGGTAGAGATTACGTTCTCGGCGGTAACGAACAATACAATATTCCGTTACATGAAATGAAGTTACCTTCATTCGGCGGGTTTTATTACTGATTTAGAATAATTCATTTATAAGTTGATTGATGCGATTATACGTGTAAGTGATTACGATCAAAGGATTCTTGATTATATTAACTTGCTAAAATTGATTTCGACAATCAAGTAAAATAGAGAGTCACAAAAGCTAACATTTAAAACATCAGGAAAATAAAAATTTCACGGAAAAATTAGGAACATTTTGTTTTCTCTCTCTCTCTCTCTCCTCATTATGCTCTTTTTATGGAAATTTCCTAAGAGAATTTTTCAGCAATAATTAACATTTGTTTTCTAATAATAATATTAGAAGAAATATGGAAGTATGGAAGCAAAGACAAAAAGTACAACATTGCCTTAATTTCAATATCTGTCTGTACTCTTATGGATCGAGAAATAAGTGATAGAAATGAGGAGGCCATTGCATTAATGTAAACAGACAATAAATGAATGAATGATTGTTTGAGAAAGGCGGAAATTGATACTTGTGATGATGAAATTGATGATTTCACAATCAATCAACTCAAATAGATGAAAGGTAGTTTGATTAAGTGAAATTAACAATGAATTAATTAAGGTAAAAGAACAAACGAGCAAATATTTGGTTGGTATGTTTCCATTATTGAATTGGAAATTTTCTTAGATTACCGTCCTTCCTATTTTCTTTTTTTCATTTTAAGAAAAATAAAGTAAAACAGTAAGCACTTATCGATAGCAATTCAAGTTTTTGCATTTACAACACTTTTAGATGTGCGAGGTGACGAACGATATGTAAACGAATTTAATTTATAGTGAAATGATTAATTATTGGGTTGGAATTTCGGTGAGATGAATAAAAAATGAAAATATTATATTAGTAATAGATGTGTATTTTTCATTTGAATTGATCACTATCACACCCCTCCAGAATTATAAAATTTATAATGATAATTAGTGGAAATAATTAATTGTTCTCAATAGCAATCATCATTAATAATTTTGAATGAAGAGGTCGGTTAATAAAATAATGATGAAAGTGTTTTGATCATCAGGTTGTTAAGTATCTGAGGAAGTGATATAAATGCAAAGCGAGAAATTTGTTGGGCTATCCATTACGGTTCATCGGTTTTAAAATACTGAAAATTGAATAGAACTAATGGAAAATTTGCTTTACATTTTACACTTTCTATAAAAGAAAGTAATTTCATCTTAATGCAAAAGATAAATACAGCTTAAATTGCTTAGACAGCAGAAAGTTTTAAACAAGTTGGACAGGGGACATGATGCGTTTGACCGCTGAATTGTCCTGTACCGCAAAATAAGGGCCTAAGAAGTGATCTTGATTTGGCGACAGATTTGAAATTCATTTCAGTAATTCAACAAAGGGCCGAATTGAGTCAAATGAATAATCATGTCAATATGAACGTGGTCATCACAACCTTTTATTTTAATAGTATGGGATACTCTTTTTTTTTGAAAAATTGAGTGTCATTTTACATTTATAGGTTGGTGCTGGAATTTATATGCTTTTATTGACAATGAAGCACAATTTCATCATTCTCTTCAGTATTACTCAGTCTTTCAAACATTTAATACTCGAGTACCAGTTCTAATTACTTTTCTAGTATTAGGCATAGACTCAATCTTTCCCTTGTTAACTGAATAATTGTCTCCACCCTTGCGATGGATGTTATATGATACCTATTCAATTTATAAAGGCAATTAATGTTTCTGTTTAACAAATTTTACTCTTTTTTGTGGTGATATCTGCAGAAAATTACTGATGTGATACCATAACAGTGCATGCCTGAAGAACAAATTTAAGCTGGATTTTGCTGTGTTTATTTGTTGATATACTTGTATGTTAATAATAAGTAGGCTATTTACGCCACATATGTAGCAAACAAAATGATATTAATTATGAGCACGCGTAGCTATGTTAGGGTTCTGAGCTGAGAATTGTTTAGGCGGTAGCTATCAAAACCGACTTGTTCAACTCTGTTTTCTTTCACAAGCTTCATTAAATGCTTATTCACATTGTTTACGGCTCCCAACATTACTGACCACGATATATCCTGAAAAAAGATCGGATAAATAAGAACGTAATTAAATATTTAGCTAAATTAATAAGTGGATTGCATAGGATTTATCAAAAAAGTTTCACAGGGCAACCTTTTCTAAAGTGTGACCCCTTTTTCCAATTGCATGCTCTTAACTTCTCGTTTAAGGATGCAAAACGGAAAATTTTGATAAGATGATATTTCATAAGGAAACTTACTTTATAAATTAAATTGGTAATTTGCATGCTAGATGCTGATGCCTTATTTTCCAATATTTTCAATATTTCGTCTTCTCGCTTCTTTCGATGTGTTATATATTCATGAATTTTCTCCAAACCATTCTCGATAACTGCCCCATGCCCTGGATATATCCTGGAAATTATCTTTCACTAACAGAAAGATACAGTCAGCAAGATTTTTAATAACTGTGTTTTTTTTACAGCAACAACAAAGAAAGGTTAAAGATACCCATACCTAGTAATACTAAGTTTCGATAGTGTTTCCAACGAATGCATATAATCATACAAATCTTCAAATACAGAACTACTTTCACCAAGAATGCAGTCGCCACTGAAGAGACTACCTTCTTCTTCAAAGTAAAGAGAAACATGATCGGATGTATGCCCGGGTGTTGCAATACATCTGCAATATATTTAAAACTTCTTTGTTATTTCGTCTTATTGAATTTCCAAAGTTCAAACCGCACAAAACGTTTTTAGAAAGTGCCACACCTATAATCAACTGTCCATTCTAAAAGAAATAACTACATCCTAGAATGTCTATTTACTATTATTCAGTGTAAATGAAATTACGGAACCTGCAAAAAAAGCACATATTTTCCTATGCGATTTTAAATCAAATTTTCTAACAAAAACAAATTTATATTCAAACATATCAAAATGGTTCACAGCGAATTCAAATTTGATTTAATCTACATATGATATGAATTTTAATAGTTGATGCCCAGAAGGAAATATGTACTTGTTCTGCTCTTTTAGTCTTGACCGCATGCCTATAACTTTCAATTCTACGGCAGATCAAGGCTGAATAACGGGTTAATCAATTTATTACTTCACAAGAAAGGTTTAAAATATTACCTAAGAGTAACTCCAGGAACCTTAATGACACTTTGTGGTGATACGTAATCAAATTTTATGTTACTCATCTCTCCCGAATCCGTTCTTTCAAGTTTATGAACTGGTACTGGTCCATTCGTCACCTGAAATGATTGCATTAAATTTTTTCTAAACGTGCCTTATTTACTTTTTTAATGCAGTTTGTATACAGTCAAACAGTCCCTTGCACTTATTTCTAACAAAGTATAATAATGATGAAAATTTCTTAGTTGCGAGTTACGGCTAAAATCAAGAACTTTAACTGATGAATGGTTCAATTGAAGATTAGGTATGAAACATGGTTTTTAAAAAGGGTCTGTCAAGAAGTTTAAATCAGAAAATTTTTCAAGAGTTTTAAAAATAAGGAAAATAATTACATGTTTGAAAATGTCCGGTATACCGCCAACGTGATCATTATGCCAATGTGTGCAAATAATTAATTTTATTGTATTATTACCTAGTGCTTCCTTTAAATAATCAATGTACCGCTTCACTCCACTGTCACCACAATCGATTAAAATTTTCCTGGAAATAAAAGAAAAAACTAATGATTAGGCAGAATGTCAGTATTTAACAGTGAAGAATAAGAGTGGATAAATGTTCTATACATTATTTCAGACGTGCTTAAATTATATCTGAAGTCAATAATCAGAGCAATGTTGAAAGTGAGTTTCGATCTTGGATTGTCTTAAATCAAAGATAACATATCTTGAAACTTTAGCTCTCTAAATTCTATTTTTAGAAATGAATCAAACCTAACTCAAACATAATATGATTTCAAGTCGAACTAAAAATTTTTATTTCGTTATTCATCGAATGTCACGAAAGTTCCTCATTTGACGAAATGTTTAAATTTTGATAACATATTTCACCTCTGAACTTCTCGAATATGATACTAAAATTATACAGCAATACTGAAATTCCGGAATTCTTTATCTCCCCATGGCCTCTTGATTCTACTAATAACTATTACATTATATATTCTCTCCCACTATGTCAATCTTGGCACATAAAAGCGATCATTTTTTTTGTTATTATTGTCATACTATGACTGATACAAAATATGTCGAAACTAGTTGCCAAAATCATATCAGAATCTAATTGACTATTACCTCTTATTTCAAGCAACATATGACAGTTACGACTATCAGTTGTTTTAGAATAAAGAAGGAGAGCTGGGTAGTAGAATAGTAAGAAATCTTTTTTCTGATATTTAAACGTCAGAACGATCCAGATATCTAATTATTTCATTTTAGTGAATTCATCGGCCGAGTATCATTTAATTTATTTAACTGTTCAACAAGTGATTTCATGAGTAAGCCTGAACTTACAAAGTAATGAATGGAACCTTCAAAGCATTAAAGCTGATCAACTTGAAGTGTGTCTTATTGATTTTTCAAAAAGCACAAGGAAAAAATGTAAAATGTTTACTCTTCGGTGGCTCCGATCAAATACGTATTTGTTCCTTGAAGTGTAAATGGTCCTGGATTTTGACCCAAAATTCGGCAAACGTTTTTCGACAATTGGCTAACCGGATCAAGCCCAGTCAAACTGGAAACCTTTTTAGCAGGAAGAATTTTGCTAAAGGAATAAGCAAGAAGTGCTAATGAAAAATGGGCTATGTCATATGCCACATTTGTTACCATTTCTGCGACAGCAAAAAACTTCCTCCACCATTCTGTCATCAGCTATTTCTCGATATTAGAATAGTACTTCTTACTATTCTGATCTAACTTTCTACTCTCCGTACTTTCGATGTTCTTTCTTCACCACTGCTCTGATTTCGATCAGGATCGCATGAAAATTTATGTTTTGTCCTTATGATTGGAAAATTCGATTCATAAAAATTTGTCTTCTCGTGTAAGAATCAACCTGTAAAAATTTGCTTTAATGTAAAAATGAATAATACTTGAATCGTTTTCGTGCCATAAATTTCTTCATGGAAAAATTTCTCTATGAAGAAATTTATGGCACGAAAACGACTAATCACACGAGATATAATGCTAATTCGTATTAAGACATAATGCCAGTTCATATTAAAATAAATATATGTTCATTATTATCCTTGTATGCATAAAAATATTATCTGTCACTATCACTGAAAGTACAATGTCCGAACATCCTGATAGCATATTTAACTGATGATATATAATTTGAGCATCCTCCCCAGTAAGATATACTATTTTTAGAAAATCAAATTCACAAATGGAAAACTGAGAGGTTTAAATGAAATGGTTAAATATACAGTATCACGAATCCCTCTTAGTCATATCCGGAATATAGTCTTGTTATTACCTGAAGATAAGCTGCTATTAACAATTGAATGATACGACTTATTGGAAATAAAAGAAAAATTCATGCAAGGATAATTGCTCATCTATAGTCCATCAATCTTTTGAAAATAGGTTCACTAATCGTTGTTCATATTTTTTTTAAGACTTCAGTAGAAAAGTATGGAATTTGAAATGATATATATTTCCTTGTTACATCCAACTTCAAATTATATATTTTGAACTAAAATTCCCTAATTTTGTTAATGTTTAAAAATAAGAATGATCAAAAAATCTTCCATTACAGTAATCTTGTAACGGAAGAAATAAATTCATTCCAAGATAAAGTTCGATTTGCAGAGAAAGACTGCAACTGACGCCTTCTCAGTCCATTCATTAAGTAAAAACCGAAAATTATCGTTTCCTAGTAAATGAAAAAAAATTTTAAAACAAAAAATTCAACGAGGACAAGCAATGATGTAACGATTAGAAGGAACCATTGAATGACCTCTTTAACAATAAATCAGTTAGTGAAATCATCGAGGAATTCCACCTCATATCTTATCAACTATCGAAATCATGCAAGAATAATACATATAAACGTGTTATATTCAATAAAGACAAACATACATTTTAAAATTTAAATATATGTTTCAATTTTTAGAAATTGTTTTCTATCTTCAAAAATTCTACAGTAAGACTTTTAAACATGATATTCCATCATCTTTTTTCATATAACCAAATGAAGAGAGGCGAAATCATTTCCGAAATAACGATATAGAAAATAATTAGATTTAAAAATAAACGGAGTAATTTACTTCTATTATTTCATGTCTCTTTTGTGCTTGTTAGCAAAGTTTTTGCTTTTGTTGAAAAGTAAGCAGCGAAAGAAATAAGAAACTATTTTACGATGACAATTGTAAAAAATTAAATCTTCTAATTCATCCTTTGAACAACCTTAATTTCAATAATCCTTTTGAAAATATTTCTTGTCATGACTCAAAGCGCATTACCATAATAGTTCTTAGAGCATATGTTAAGTCAGATTTTATACGCAAATTACGCATCTTTTTACGTTAGACGTTTACATACCTGTTTTCAGGTATATATGAATTGATTATGAAATGAGATAAGATTGACGAAGCAGGACTTTCATATAATCATTACACAAATTTCAATTATCAATAAATACTCAAAACGAATAATTATCACGAAATAAACATATATGTGTAAAATGAACAAATTATTAGAGAAAATCACGTGTTAAGAAAGTTCCGATAATAAATAATGCTGAAAATAAAATGACCAGGAAATCTGATCAAATAATATGCCATGCTAATAATGAATTGATAATAATGCTAATAATAATAATGCCATGCTAATAATAATAATGAATTGAAGAGACAACGGTATATGCTTTTGACGTATCGATGAAACAAGCAGTTAAGAGAGGAACATTGATTACTGCTCCTCTGTTTGCTACCGTGCAATTCTTTCCGCTCATCACCACGCCCAGTGATGTTCTGGTTTATAATTCAGTTATCAAATCATTCGCAATTTGATATCATTTCTTTACTATTCACATTACTCTGCTCCTATTATATACTCTGAATTCCACTCAGTCTGTTTCATTAAATTAAATATCACTTAGGAGCATTTCATTATCTTGTCGTGACATCTGTTAATCCCATAGCTAGGCCTAAGTTACGGTGTCTATGACATTCTTTTATGCCCTTGTAAATTTACAGCTATAACAATTAACGTGAATGGGAAATTAAATCCGCTTACGATCAATTAAATTATCCCATCAAGAGATTTAAGCTAACTCTAATTCAAAAATAGGTCGAGTGTTATAAGAGCTGACAATTTGTGCTAAATACATCGCTGCTGAAGCTATTCCACAGAATATCGATATTTCCTTGAAATTGTCTCTTGGATGATTGCAATCCAGCTGAAAAAGATATGGAAGCAATGCATATCACCTCCCAACCCACCTCGTCTATACTTCATGCCACATTAGTACGTCAAGTAGTGACAATGCACCCATCCAGCAGTTCATCACGAAAACTATAATCCCAGCATACATTAGAAAAAATGGAGTTATTATAAATAGGGGATGATTGAGATTTAAGTTGTAACTCCTGGAAAAGACCAGATTGCTGGACCGAGAAGTTATTTTCTCCCAGAGGGTTATAGATGATTTCAATGATTCTTGATGTTAAACTTATTGTTTACTAATCACTTTAAGGTTCATATTAGCTTTTTTCATCTTTCATCTCGCATCATTTTTATAATTTTTTATTCTATGTTTTATGCAATCTGTTCTTTGTAGCGATTATGCTGCATGTGTTTGACATATTTTACAGTGATTAATTTTACGATGTTTTGTATATTAATTTCGTAATGATAATAAAAGAAATTGTTGAGATGAATGTTATTGACAATAATGTTATTGTGCCAAATTATATATTGTCACTCATCAGAATCATACTCTTAAAAGTTCATGAAAATCACTTCAGATTTATATAATTATTGCTAATATTGTTATCAGTATTGTTTTGCAGGAAAAGTGAAATATAAGCAATCGTTATAATTTGCCTGAAGCATCATCTGAAGAACCGGATACCAACAACTTTCAGTGTTATTGTTTTTTTAAATGTTAACACCAGTAATAAAACACGAATCACATCATGAGGTTTTCTTTTTGTCATTTTTTTCAGAGAAGATATATTAATATTATTTGTCATATATCGAAAGTAAACGTATATTGTTTGTCACCGTCGATTTTATAGTGATAATATGCGATAACATGTTATATGTATGACATGTTATCGAATAAAAATTCGAAAATGATAACAGTCGAATAAGAAATTCGAAAATAGATGGCGTCTCATCGTTGATCTTAGAAGTTGTTAATAACAGGAAATTCGCTACAAGTTTCTAACGTTTGGAAGTAGTCATGTATTTTTCTTTTATGATATTAGTTATTCTCGTTAACTGGTTCGTCATAACTGCAAAAAGACCTTTTACTTATTAAATATCCGTCAAATGGATAATTTCATTAAATTAAATTGATATTACACTTTGATAGACTTGTCTTGCAGAAAAATTGAAATAGTTCATTCCAGTCAGATAGTTCATGGCTAGGCAGCAGTTTGCGCTCATCAGATGGAGGAACATCCTATGTTGGAGGTGCGGATGATATTGGCTCGGATGAGCGGACACGCATCGAGCGCAAAATAGAGCAAATCAAAGAAAGATTATATCGCATTTCGCTTGCAAGAGAGGGTGTCTATCACTTTTTATCATTTTTAGCAAGAATTAGTCGTTCAGTGATTTTAGCTATCTGAGAATTTGGCTTATTTGGCTTTTTTAGCTTTTTTTGGTCTTTATCTTTGTTGATCCAAATTTGACAGGTTATTTTTAATATTATTTCAGCGGATGTTGATGACTTCTTATCTATGACTAACAGCATGGAAAATAGAAGCGAAAATCCACAATTAGCACGAGTTCGACAACATTTCGAGAAAAAAAACAAGAGGAGTTCGCAAGAAATTGAACATTTGAAGGTTAGTTTAATATTAATTTAAAGGATGAAATTGCTTCTGAACTTATTCAAACCATATCATTTACCCATATCATTTAAGTGCTTGGCTTTATTTCACATTGCAATACGCTGTTGTGAATTTTGTTTATATTATTATATGCTTCCACGCCACTGCGGTTTTTCTTCATGCTTGTAACAACAGGTAAAGCTCATCACAGAGAATCTGACAACAGAGATTAGCCGTTAGAAGTAATGGCGTGTGTCAAAAACAAGAAAGATATGTATCGTGATACATTTTAAACGCTTTATAAGAGAAACTATATAATAGTGTTTTAGAAAAAACTGGAACAACTGCAGTCAAAATTAATGGATTTGAATATGGGAATTGTCACCGAATTCTCATCTAAAAGCTCTGTCCTTAATAATATTAGGTTCGTGGCTCAGTTAAAGAATTTTTTTTCCTGTTAGAGATCCATTCGCATTGTCATCAGTGGCACCGTTGTGTCGAATGGCTAGGCTGCGAAATACCCAGACATCTTTAATATGAAATGAAGTTGTATTCAGTAATTTGTATTTGCAAAATGAAAGTGAAATTTTGATTTTGTTCAGCGACTTACTACTAATACTGCTGTTTTGTTCTTCAAAAACTTGAAGCAAGTTTTTCTTCGGATGGTTTATACGAATTCTTGTTTTTATCAATAAGTCTTCTATTGAATACCCTGCTTGTCGTTATGGGTGTGGAAATTACACAAACGGCACATCTGAATATAATAGGTGGTTCTTTTGAACAAATATTTTTGCCATTGAGTAAAATCTGTCCTAATTTACAATTTGCATAATTTCTATGATCTAGTTTCTGAAAAGTATGGGATTATAATTTTAGGAAAACGGGTCCATTGCTCCGAGAAGTGATAGCCGCACCGCGTGGTATAGCACATATAATCAAAAATACTTTTGGATCAGCAGACAATATACCAGACCGTATTGCAAATAATGTATCTAATGTGGGTCATTCCACTTTTTATTCAGATGCACAAACTAATGATAGGTCTGTTTTTTTTTTGAATTGTGTTAGTTCGCGTTTTTTGCTTTGTATACCGTTTCCTTATTTATATTTTATTTTTCCGTATAAGAATCAGAATTATTTCTTTTCAGGACACACAAATTGGATTTAGAAAATTGTGACGCGGGACCATCACTAGCTAAGCGTGGACATAAACGTAATGAAACATTCCCTTCAATGGCACTTGATCTCGATAATTTGATGACCTCACCTCAACCAGAAATGCTGTCTCGTAATGAATCGGAAGTGGGATTTGCTACTGCAAATACTGTGGTCGAATTGGGTAATGATGTACAAGAATTGAAAACACAGAATCAGACACTTCTTGAACAACTTAATAAGTTAAAGGTATATTAAAGCTATCGTTTTTTTCTGTTTCTTAATAGCTGATGTTCTGAACATGTACGACTGAGTTTTACAGAATTACTGATACTATAAAACATTGCCGAAGAATAAAGCAATAAGTAATTCAAAAAGACTAAACTTGATAGAGGTGATTTTTTAAATGGCTCATGTACATTTCTCTCTTCACTATTCTTGAGTTTTTTGCAACGAATAGCCTTTCTGTCCTATCCTGAAGTGCATTTGCATATTTGCTATGGTAAATTCAAGTAGCTTCTGAGCAGATTATTTCTTTATCTTTAGTCATAATGATTATTACAGTTTGTGACTGCTATATTTATTTCCTTCGTTAAAAAATTTAGACGCAGAATAAATCCGAATTCAATTACTTCAACAATGCGCTTCATGAAGAAAGGATCAAAACACAGGTTTGTTGAAGTGAAAATTTGAATTATTTTTAAATGATTTTATTCATGATGCTGTTTTTATCGACATGTTGTAAGTTATTTTTTTCAGAGAAACATCATGCAAGCAAGAGCGTTCTCAATTGAGAAACATATTCTGCTTTTGCGCATAGGGCCTTTGTATTTTTCTCACTTGCTTTATGAGGCAGATTAATCCATAATCTATGGTTTTTTTAGAGGCTTGAAGAAATGTTGAATGAGACGATAGAATTGCATCAAGCTGAAATAATTGCACTTAAATCTGATCTCAACACAATTGCTACGCGGATGGATTATCAATACAGCGACCGTTTTCGCTCTATTGAAGAGAACATTGAGAGTACTCAAAATAAGGTGAAATTGTTTTTTCACCAGACGATAATGTAAATTCAGATTTTTTTAAATTTATTATGTATATTGTTAGGATTATCAGGAAGTTCAAATTTTGCTGTCAAGTTGATCTCTCAACAAATATTTCAAAGAACTGTGAACTTTTTTTAAAGCGTAGATTGTCATTTTCCATTCTAGGATGTCCTAAGGGTTAATAGATTATGAGAAAAGTCTTGACGATTCAAGATTTCGTTTTCCAGATGATACGAATGGAAGTAAATGTGAAAGAATGGACAGAATCTCGACCACATACAACATTCAATTCAGTAATGCTTTCTGGTACAAATATTCTGGTGGAATTTATCAAGCTTGTATTGCTTATTGTATCTTTTGCTCTTGATTTTGTTAAACCTTTTACTGGCACCAGGTTTGCTATTATTCTTTTAATAATAGAATGTTTCGTTCTCCAAGAGATTAATTACTAGTTTACTTCGATTTATTAAATTCTTTTTTCGCTATTATTACATCATTTATATGATTTTCAGGACACGCGCTGGGTTTGTAATCATGTCCTGGTTAGCGCTAATGATCTTAACACATTTCATCGATCTTGATCAATTAATACGAAGAATTGGTGGCATTTTTCATCTTTTTTCATCATCATCGTCACCAAATTCTACTAATTTAAATCTTTTATAGTTTTTAGAATTTTCTTTTGAAATTATGTACATTTTCTAATAAACCTGTTTATAGGTTTTAATTTGAAATACTTTTTCGATGTTTGTGAGGTTGAGCTTATTGAAGTCATAATCCCCTAACACGTGTAGGCTGGATCAATTATGCTTGCTTTTATCAGTAATTGTCGGTAATTGTCGATGAACTTCTTTCGTCATACTTCGTAGGAAAAGTCTTAATTGAAAATATTTCTTTTTTTCTTTTAGTGAAGTTAGAAGAAATTTACATAGCATTTGAATAAATTTGTCACTCGGGTGTTTCATTTCAGTACGTGTAGCTAAATCATTATTGTTAATAATAATTGCATAGTTATGGAACTGCGTATATTTTCTATAAAAAGTTTCTGCATAATGATAAGAGTTGCGCTTAAAAGTTAAATGTTGAGATTTCTCTGCTGGAATGAACTGTGAAGTTGGCTTCACTAAACATTTTGCTTATATGTGTATATTTTTTCCGAACAATTTGCAGTCTATTTGGACGGTTTTTTCTTTTTCAAAATACCTCGGTACAGATTAACGTTCCATCTTATGATAATTAAGCGCTTGTGTATAAATATAACGTTTTATCACAAAGATAACGTAGATCTGATATGCGAACAAATTGTGAGAATCATATTTCGGGAGCTTACTAATCAAATTTTTCTGTGACACCAAAATCTTCCATTTAAGGCGAATGTTCATGTATAATTTTCAATGCTTGTCGTCCAATTCATCATAAATGATTATTATATTGATCAAAACGAATATGCTATTGGGTGTTATTCAAGCAGATTTCATATAAAGGTATGTGTGATTTGCTGAAAATTTGTTCTTAAATTATATTTTCTCTGGCGCTGTTTCGTTAAATTGCTAATATTTATTTTAAGCAATCGATTTTTATGTATCATTAGTCTTCAACTAACGACACATAATCATCGATTGTTTAAAAAGTGGGTTATTTTAATAATAGTTGGTGATATGAATCTCTTTCGTTATATCTATGAATGGCATCACGGGTATCGTAAGCATTTGCATGGAATAAACGATCTTGATACATGACAACTCATCAGGTTTTATGTTTCTTAACAGATATAAACATAGTATGATTTGTGTTATTTAGATTTAGGAATATTTTGTTATTTGGTTATGTGACAAAAGCACAAAAATTAATTGGTTATGTGACAAAAGCACAAAAATGGTCTAAATAATGCAATAAAAATAACGAAGAGAAAGTTGAAATAATGCAAAATTAGAAATTTTTAATTTAAATTTTCATTTCGAAACAGATAACTGCCAGCGGGTCTTTTTAGCGTTACACAAAAATCCCAATCGTAAAATTTATTAACATGAAAGTGATAATAAATCACGAAAGTGAAGATAATCGAACTGATGATTATTGTCAGTTAAACGTGTGATTAATTGCAAATTAATGAGTAGCATTATTTTCATCATCCAACAACATTACATAAAATTTAAAAAGTCTATTCATAGGTCATTACTATTAATCTTTTGATATCATCCTTTTATGGTACCTTCCATTATCATCATCTCTTGCTACCATTCTCGGTGTTACCGTTTGAATGTGATACATTTGCTATCACCGCTGCTGTTGCTGAATTTCCAATAACACCATCTTTGGATGAATAATTACTGGCAGATGGAATCAGTACACTATATTGGGGAGTAAACATGAAACCATCACCATAAATGAATTTTCCTGATTCATCACTTTCTGGTATTGGTTGTGCGCCACCCACAAATGGCTGATAACTGATATTGCTAGCGCGACATGGCAATGGTAAAATTGTTATCGGCAATTCCAACAACAAGTAATCACCAAGCGATAACTATAATTTGTTGCAAATTTGAATGTTTAAAATTAAAATATACGGCAAAGTTGAATAAAATAATAAAATTGATGAATTCAACGATGTATAGAGTAAGAACGAAGTAAGAAACTTCATTTTATAGTCAGAAATATTTCAGTGTGCCGTGCCTATTTCATACCATGCTTATTTTATCTAGAACAACAATCTTAGATAATACAAAGCAAACTATAAACATACTTGTATGGCGTATTCAATCCGCAAGAAGGGTTTCTTTCGGAATCTCAAAGTTGCACTGCTTGGAGATTCTGGAAATTCAATTAGGAATTTGGGATTTGATACTGGCTGATCTGGCGTCACTGTGACATCAATATCCGTCGTTGTAGTATTATTAGTGACACTAGATTTATGTAATTTTGTCCCTGAAATTGAAAAAATTGACACAATGAACAAATGAAATTATTTTATACAAATACAATAATTAATCACACGTATTCAATTAAGCATCTCACGTTACTCTTTCATTAAGCTTAAATTATTTTGTTCGTTATGCGTGAACTTCCGAAATACATATTTTGCAGTAAATCGTAATTTCTTTCATGATAGGATAAAAGATTCGAATAGTATCACTTAATAATATAATTATTAAAAAAAAAGGTAGTTCCCAAGAGAAAAACAAACAAACCTATAGTTGGTGCTAAAGCAGGGATTTGCAAGAAAAACACTTCATCTTTCTGCAGCATACTTTTTGATTTAACAGCATCGTGTTTCTCCAGCCGACGTATAATCAACGTCCGATTTGGTAGTGTACTATTATTCTTAGAATCAACACATTGCACACGATCCACTAAACGAAGTTCCATCTGAAAAAGAAGACAGAAAATGAAACCTTATAAGATAATTCGAAAATTTTATAAATTTGAAATTATATTTTTTTTTTGACAAAAATTCATAATTATTTTATCATTAATATGGCTTAATAATGTTATCATGTTAACTTCATTCATAATCTAAACAGAACTTTCAAAATTAATTTATTAAATTCCTCTAAGATTTATTAAATTCTCTTTTCAAATGATATCTCAAAAAAGAAATTTCGAAAAAGTATTACCTGGTCAACGATATGCCTTGGATGTCGATTATCAATTTTGATAGAACCAATAACTGTTTCACCTGGTGCATAGGCAGATTTTGGTAAACGTACTTCAGCGATCAATTTTCCACGACAACAACAACCACCAAATGATACTGTTTCAGAGGTACCAATTGGTTGTGCAGCTGATTCCATAAACGATTCCATGGGTGCAATCACTGAGATCGGCTTTTTAGCGATATATTCGCGCTAAAATATTCGCTTTTTTATCAGATTGTAAGACGTGGAATGATAAAATTTAATAGATTAATATGAATATATTATATAGTTATTGAACAAATGATAAAATAAATTTATTAAAAATTGCAACAAAATTTTCCCGAAATCTTTTTTAATTTATAAAATAGATTAGGAGTATATAAGTTTAAAATTACCGAATCAGATCCAGCTTCTTCGATAAGAGTAGCTCGAATGAAATACCGAATAAATCCATGAGGGCTTTCATATGAAGTTGGACAACCCAGTGGTAACGGACATTCAAATGGCAGACAATATAAGAAATTGGCAATCCATGGGAAATGTCCTGGTTCAGGTCGACCAGGTGGTCTTTCTAATAATGTAAAATCTCTATCAAAATACACCTGCAAACAATAGAAGAATATATTTTGAAAGCAATAATATGAAAGCAGATTGATAAAGCTTATAAACTATTAGCGTGAATCCAATAAAAACTATATGAAGCGTCCAAATTTTAAATCCTGAAAAATTCCGGATTTAATAATTGGCAATCTAAATTAATAAGCAATAGATGATATAGTAAGATATATTTCTGATACCTTTTCAACTTCGGCTCTTTTTGAGGAATCTCTTTTTATACATGCAGCACGACCTTTAAATTGTAATTTGATGGCTTGTATGGTCATTGGTCTCTTCAGTTCAATTCGTAGTTTACCAGTTATCAATTCATCACCATGAAAGATTGGTTCATGACCTGCATCTAATTCAATTTCGAACTGTCGAAATACATCATCAGCACTTGGCATCGTTATTTATGCAAAAAGGAAGAAAATCCCTTTTTCTTTATTTACTTTTTCTTGATCCTAAAAATATGTGTATTAAAAAGTGATAGAGAAATAGATGAAATTAAAGTATTTCGTAAAATTGAATTTTTATAAAATTAGCATATATTTTATGTCTCATCAAAAAGTTCGCGTAAAAGGTCAATTATATTCGTTTAATTACATTACTTCTATTAACGATTACTAATTTAGTAAAAAAGGAAAAATCATGATAAGATGAAAAAATAAGATAAACTTACCACAAACTAATCAAATGCAATACTTCGCCAATTTTCAAATAACACTTCAATTTAATTAAAGCGTAATTTAAAATCCAAAATAGGAAATTTGAAATTTAAATTTGATTACTGATAATGAATAAAATCGAATCGAATAAGAGTAAAGAAAGAAAGGTATACGAAAAAAATGCTTTTTCAATTGCAATATTTTCTTTTCTCTTTTGTATAACTTCGCCTTTATTTAATTAAAATGGCAGTCGTAGCAGAAAGTGATAATAAGAGTAGTAAATAGTGATAGAGGAATAAGAATGATAAATAAATAAAATAAATGATTACTGGCAGATGGAGCAATTTCAATTAAATTATAAACCAAATATAGTGATCGAAAATTGATGATGCATAATTGTGTGTAGCTTTGCTCATTGATATTGTTTTGCTACATTATCATCCAACTCTTTCTATATCGAATACATCTTTCGGTTTTTTTCTAATTTTGAAATTCGTCGTTTGTCGTCCTTTTTACACAATAATAACTACTACAAACTATTTCGTTCCACTTCACTCTACCTTCAATAAAAATAAAAAAAAATGTATAATTAATTTTAATTTTTTAATTAATTCAATGAACTCGAAAATAATTGCTGGCACTAATTGAAATTATTCATCTTTTATTTTAGCTATTTTTTATCATCAATTTATCAGATTCATCTCATTTATTATCACTATTGTTTTTCTCTTACCATCCCAAAAATAGCATCTATTGTTTTTATTAACACAATTAAGTTGTATTTTAATAAAAGTA